GGAATGAACAATTCCTAATGCAAAAAGACGTAAATCATCATTCATCTTTTCTTCATTTTCACTTGTATATTGATCAATTTTCCGAACTTCATCGTCTGTAATAAGAAATACAGAAGTTGGCATATCATTCCTTGAATTTTCAACTGCCCAATTTAATACCCTGAAAATTTCTGTTCCACCGTAATTTGAGGTCATCGTTTGAGCAAGATTAAGTGCTTTAGACAGATTCGTTTCGGAATAAAGTTGACTTTTTGGAAAAAGAGAGTCATAACGAGATCCAAACGATATTATGTTAAAGTAACAATCTTCAGGAAGAGAACGTAATAATAATTCAAGTGCTTGCGCAGCTCTCTTCATAGGTCCGTCACTCATTGATCCTGATCTATTTTGGAAAAATAATTTTTTCGTTAACCGACCAGAAAGCAATTTTTCTTTAAACTCATAATTGTATACAATACCTATCGATAACGAATATTAACTCTGTTGTATTTAACGTGGATTTCGGAACCAAAGTTAACATAACACAGTTTGTTTCTGTTTCAGGATTGTATTCAACGAAAGCTCTAAAGAAAAAACTAATTATATTAGAATGATTTTAAATTAAACTAATTCTGAATCGTTGTCAAAATATTTACCTTGATTGGTCAAGATCTTCACTCTTAAACACAAGAATGAAATCTTTTTCTAAATAAGTAATCTGTTCATCTAAAGTGATTTTGAAAATTTTAGGATTTCCATCAATACTCATTTCGGTAGAAATTTTATGTGAAGGCGATTCAATACGTTGAATAATTGAAGCCATTTGACAAGTAATTTTCAGATCTAAATTATTAACGACAGCATCGGCGTTAATAATTTTCTCATCATTGGAGCCATATCTCATCGCGATAAAGTTTGGAAGAACGAATCGAATTTTTTCAGACTCGGAATCATGCTTGAGTTCTGCAACGTATGTAATTCTTATGACCACAGTTTGTCCGACTGAAATATGTCCAACAAAGCATTGAAATACTTCATTTGATTCGGATTCTATCAAATAAGCACCATGTCCTTGCTAATCAATTCAGATATCATTTTAATTTACATACGTAGGAAAAATAAATGCAAAAATCAGTTTTGAAAATACCCAAACTTCTTCAGTGTATTGATCGACATCCTTATTTTCCTTTCTGACAAAACCTTTTACTTTACTTCGTCCATCAATTTCCGCTTCAAATCCGCAAACAGTTATAGCTTCATTAATAGGAAACTTATAAAAGGCTTCAATGGTATTTTTTTCAGCAACCTTATAAGTCTGGATTATAGCAACTGTTAGAAAGTTAAATCTTAAGATATTAATGTTCATACGTAAGTTAATATTCACTAATTCACGTCGTACAAACCTTCGGCGATCATATCAACAACTAAAAAAAGGAAAGATATGCAAATTGTTAGAATCCTCCTAATTAATCAACGATAATAAACTATGAATTATCGTAAGCTTACTGTTGGCCTCAATGACAACATTTTGTAAAGGGATCGGATTTACTTTTTGTTCAAGCATAAAACAAAGGCCGTGAATTTGCATTTTGAAAATAATCAATGATTTAAGTTCTTTTGATGGGATGGGAAAAAAATCCAATTTATAAGAGTTTTGCTCCGATTGTAAAACCTTAAACGTGAATCAATGACGACTTGAGACAAAATTAGAAATTATAATCAATTAGATGGGAATAAAAATAATAATTTTAAATCCGAGTCGTGGGAATTCGACGTGAAAGAAT